AACTGTGTCTCTAACAGTTTAGGGCTGTCACACGGGCTCTGCTATTCTGGAATCCTAGGAATACCATTACACTAGGGAAACCAGTTCTACAACAGCATCTCCTACGATAAATCCTGGGCCCCATTCAAGTTCTCAGTGACCCAGTGACCTTCTCACTAATTCATTCCTTACTGTTTTAGAGAAGGGAGTCACTTCTGGGACATTCCAGGAAACAGCTGATGGAGCCTCTGGCATGACTTAATACATTCTGATATTCCCATCTCTCTGACTGCAATTGTTAGCTCTCTTGCATGTCCAACCTGCTCCATGCACAGGCCAATTGCTAAAGAAAGACCACAGACAAAAGTCATTGGGTTTGCAGCAGGAAACTGCCAGGTTAGAGGGCACAGTCATAGTACGTGTCTGCTGCATTATACCAATTCCTACTTTGGACCTAGGGAAATAGCCACGAGGTGGATCTGAACACTCACTGGGCCCACTGTCAACTAGACAAGTCAGGACTCAGTTATCATCTGGCCTTTACAAACTTTCATTCCAAGCACAGGAGCACATAATGTCTTGGGTCTTCTGGTTTTATCAGTCTTATGTCAGATCACATAGTCCTTGGAAATTCTGGGTATGCTCCTTTCACTGGTGAATAGTTAGCCTGGAAAACGACCTCAAGCACCTGCCTCAGCTGAGGTCATGGCACAGTCTTTTCTGGGAGAAGGGGGCTTGAGGAGTCTGCAGATTCATGCTTCTCAGGCTTATCCACGCCAATCCCCCTTTCACAGCTCAGATTCTACTCTTACCCATAGGGCTATGACTTTGACAAACAGACCCTTCAAGACGACACCTTCTCTTTTTTCAACTCTGCCATTCATACAGTCAGATCCTAGGCCTGCTCTTCAGCAAAGTCTGTCCTGCAACTGCTTCTTAAAAGCTGCCAAAGGAGCCCTGGGCTTTCATAGTGTGACTGGATTGGCAATTGGCTACCCAGAGCCCACCCTTTCCAGTTTTCAACCAGAAGCCCACTACTCCACAGTCATTAGAAGTATCATTGCTCCATACAATTTAAATGCCACAGCTACCACTTATTGCAAACTTCCTCTCAATTAATCATAGGTGAAAGCCTGAGTGATTGTGATGCATGGGCATCCCCCCTGCTTGCATGGGGTTATTTGCATCTCTGCTCACCACCATAGTGTTTCTATTGCTGTCCTTCTGGTGAATAATCTAACTCCCAAACCTCAGCCACCCAGTTAGGCTTAGCCTGGGTTCCCCAGAAAGCAAATCCTCTGGCAGAGGGCTGATGGCAGGGCTATGTGAAGAGCACAAGTGAGGGACAAGGGGAGTGAAGCCGACAAGGAGGGAGAGTCAGTGTGAAGTGATTGTATTGAGGCCTGACACTGAAGTAGGAAGGATTGCTGGGTCAGTGGGATTGTGCCCCAAAACTTGCATAAACTGTACCCACCCTCTCCCATTGATCAACAATTCACCCTCAACTAGGGCATTAATTCTCTTGCACTTCAGGGCTGTGCCTATAGACCCCAGGCCATTGCCAATTGGAAGCCCAAAACAGAGAAATAGGTAGGGGTGGGAATTGAGGTACTGTCAGGTTCCCCCTGCGTGAAGCTGTCCAGAGCCCAGGCAGAGCTGGAACGAGAGCCAGATGAGACCAAAGGGTCTGCTGGGGCCCAAGAGAGGGATCAGAAGCAGTGGGTGAACACATGCTCCACCCCAGCTCCAGACCAGCAAATTCAGAGTGGCCAGGAATGAAGCCAAGTTTCAAAGTTTCATGGGTACTAGGGTATCTGAAGGGCCCATAAGTTTTGTTGGGAAGGAGCTCAGTTTAGAGACACAGGGAAGTCAGAGTGAAAACAAAATCAAGAAAGCAAAGTATTAGGCAGGCTACTGAAGAGCACGATCGAACAGCTACAGTCCTGTCCTTGTCACTCAGGCAATGGGGACTTGCAAGCCAAATCATAGCTCTCAGTTGCCCCTCCCTCTATGTGGAGTAGAACAGAAAGAGAGAAGACCTGTGCTTAAGCCTAGAAGATTGATGAAATAGCAAAGTAACACCACTGGAAGAGCACAGATACAAAACACAGTAAGTTGAGCAGTGAGACAGCTTTATTTAAGGCAAAGAGTACACACTCAAAGAAAGGGGAGTGCAGGCAACTTCAGAGAGGAGGTGTGCTTAAGGGTTTAGGGTTTGGAGTTTTATAGGGCCTTCTGGATAGGGGTCAACATAAGGCATGATGTATACAGGTGGTTCATAATTCCTTTGAAGTTTTATCTTAAGAATAGGGTTATTTAGGTGACTGCGTTGGTCCAGATCTCAGCATTCTTTATTCACATGGGTTCATCTAAACTCCAGAGGTCTATCTCCCTTCCTGGTTACAAAGTTAGTTAATCGATTAAGGGCATGGAAGAAGAGGAAGAACAGCATATAGATTAAGATAAAGAATAAGAAGGACCTTTTTCGCAGGCCAAGTAGATTTTATAATGGCATGACCCTTGTCCCATTTCCCTGCCCTACCTCATGGGGCAGGGAAGTCCTTGATTGACAGTCTTTGGCCCTGGAGGCCTGATATAATTGGTACAATGAAGACATGGGCTGTGCTCTGATGTTTTTCTTTATCTGGGAAATTGTTTTTCATCTGGGGAATATCCTGACATTCCAAGTCACTTCCGGCCTTTGAAACTTCAACTAATTAACTAATTCTGTGAGCCCTTTCTGGCTCTCTGGTTTTATCTGGTAAATTTTTTGAGTCCTTTTTAATGAACATTACTGGCTTTATTTTCTTTCTACCCACTTATGTCTGTCTTTCTGCCTAACAGTTTGGCTGTGCATATCTTTCATGTGTTGCTGGGAGTGAGGGCCACACAGAAACTGAGTAAATGGAATGCTGGAATAACCTGTTTGGGCTGTCATTGTTTTATACATACAAGAGGGGCAGTGGAGTCATGTCTATCCCATCAGGAGCAGCTGAGCCTCCAGAGTCAGTGTTACCACATTTATGGCCCTTGCATGGTCCCTTATCCAGGATGTCTCATATATTTCACAGAGAACCCTACAATCAGTGTTTGTCACAACTAGAAGGGATCTTAGCAATGGCCTCACAGAGGCCCCACGCTCTATGGATCAGAAATCTGAAGCCTCTCATGGTGTAATAATAACAATTACCACCACAGTGTTACTTTCAGCTGTCATTTTTTGAATACCTACTAGACATACCGGTTTAAAAATTAATCCCCATAAGAATTCTAATTTTGCAGATGAAAAAGAGGCTCTGGTCTAACTAGTCTGGGTTATTCTAATGACTAGAATATAGAGACTGATGTTTAACCCGAAATTGTTTTGTCTCCCTCCCCACAAAAAAGGAGACTGGTAGGCCTGAACCTTTGTAAGCAATCTTCTTGTCCCCCTCCCTTGATTTCCTATTTAGCCTCATTTTAAATGAAGTTGGATGATATTTCTCCCATGCTCTGTCATTAGGAGGATCCATTCTCTGATACTCAGTATCTAGATAAAAAGAGTAAGAGATTAACATTTGCTGAGTGCATACTGTATGCCAGATATTGTCCAAGGGACTTTTCATTTAATTAAAGTAGCGTTGCACTTATTTCTCACAAAGCCTGGGATTGTTATGTGCCTCATTTTATAAATGAGAAAACAAGTCTTCAGAGAGATTAAATGAATTGCCTAAGATCTTTCAGCTAATAAAAGGCAGAGCCAAGGATTGGAACACAGTTGTCTGCCTCCAAAGCCCTTTTTCATTATACCATGCTCCATAAAAATTTGGTTTGGCCAATTTAGTGGTTCATTTCATTCGAAAACAATAACCAGATTTCACAGGGGTGTCTTTTTGAGAATGTAAGTGCCTGAGAGGTTTTCAGCCCTCTATTTTCTCACTTAAGCTTCCTCTCTTTGCCCTGACCTAGGAGAACCAGAAGGCAAGTGTGATGCATGGGGCTGCATGCAGAAATGAAGGACACTCACAGAAAGCTTTTATTCTCAAGTCAAGCAAGGCCACAGAAGGCAGAAGGCAAGTGTGATGCATGGGGCTGCATGCAGAAATGAAGGACACTCACAGAAAGCTTTTATTCTCAAGTCAAGCAAGGCCACAGAAGGCAGAGGATAGAACACACCTGAAGTGGGGTTCAGTGAATAGAGAAGCTCAAGAATGAACCTGCTATCCAAAAAATATCCAAGTGTATAACTGCTTTTTGCCTCAAATGTTTGTGAGAATTCTTTTATAACAGGTGAATGCCCAGAGAAACAGCCTTTGACCTTGCTGCATCAGGCAGCAGTCAGCTATATATTCAGGCAGAGATAACAGTAACTAGCCACTCAGTCTTGTGCACACACTTAGAGCAGGCTTCCAGAACCAGGTGAGCTGGCTGATTGTGCTGCCAGGGGGCTGGGAAGACCAGAGCTGTATCCGCCTTGCAAAGAAAAGTGAAAAGAGGGATGGTGAGGCCCACATCCTAGGAAGGAAGGGTGGTCCTGTTTGAGGGGTGGTCTGCATACAAAGGGGCAGAGGGGCTCCTTGATTGGTCTTTCCTCACTGGCAAATGCAAAGCAAGGTGAGCCTCTCTCTTAACAGTTGGATTTCCAGTTACAACAATTGGATTGGCAAGGAGAACTGGTTCCAGGCCACAGTGATCACCATTCCTTAAATATTTTCTGAGTTGTCTATTTACAAGTCTGTTTTTAAAAGATGGTACCTCATACCAGAAAGAATGTAGGTTTGGGGACATTAGTTATCTGAATCCCTACCCCCCAATATTTGTCCTTGGTTAAATTACTTACCCTTGATGAGTGGCATCTGTAAAGTGGAAATATCACCTACCTCAGAGGGGGGTTGTACATTTAAAAATATATATTGAAAGTGCCTAGAACAGAGTTAGGATTATGGATGTCATTCAACAGATAGTTGCCTCTACTGCTGTCATTGTTGCAAATGGTTGTATTGCTTTTGTTACTTATGTTGAAGGTTTAACCCCTGTTCTAGGCCCTGGGATAGATGCATAGAAGATTAGACACCTGTTGCTGCTCTTGAGAAGTGCATTCTACTAGAAGAGACACATACCTGCAGAAGTATCTTCAACTCCAGAGGGAGCTGGCTCCAGCCGACTCATTTGCATATGGTACCCTGGGTGTTCTGAACACCTAGGTAGAGACTGGAGGGGGTTGGAGAGAGGGGCGTGGCTGCTCTTGGGGTCTGCAGAAAGAGACTCGGTTGGAAGGATTCTGAGACAGGAGCCCGTAGCCACAGGGTGTGAGGGAGAGAGTGGTCTCTGCAGAGCAGTGGGACTTGAGGGACTAGAGGAAATCTCTGGGCAAGAGTTTGTGGGAACTGCCACAAGCAGGGAGCACAAACCCATGCTCTCCCAGCTCCACAATGTAAGTATTGCAGAGTTTACTGGGGACACAGCCTATAAGCAAAGAAGAGTCAGAGCACACCATTATTGCCCAGGCCCAGGCTGCGCAAGGACAAATCTGCAGTCTGACAGAGTCAGGCTGCTTCCTCCCGCAAAGAGGACTGCACACCAGAGCCCCCACAGTGAGGACTCAGCAGTCAAAAGATAGGATAGAGTTATTTCAGGTGACATTTAGATGAAGTCGTGTTTTGATAGGCTTGGAGCAAATCAGGACTGTGTGTTAAGGGTCAACATTAGGTCTTGACTTTGACATGGATCCAGAACCTTGTTTCTTCAGAAACAATAAATGAAAATAGTTTTGATATGGTTCCTATACTGTTCTGATATGGTTCCATATCAGAAGATAAAGATGGATATTAGGAGCAACAAAACAGTTTCTGCCACAGTAGCAAAGCTCAGATTTAAACATGCATCTCTCTGACCCCCAAATCAGTGCTCTTGTGAAAATTAATAAAGGGAAATGTCACTGACATGGTGTCCAGAGGCCAGCAAGACAATCTCTCACACCCACCCCTCCTTGTCAGTTGCAGACTCAACCAGAAGAGGTGGACATTGCAAGACCATAATACTTTGGCCACTACTTTACTACTCCAGCAGGAGAATGGAAGATTTCCTCCTCCCCCAGGAACAGCCCAACCAATTGGAGACTATCAAAAATCAGCCAATGAGAAGTCACTACTGTTCAACTCTCAGTTTATTCCAGTGGACTTTTTGTTTGTAACAGTGCTTCCATCTCAGCCCTTTCCTCCATAAAAGAGCTGTTTTTCTCCTTTGTTCTCTGGAACTTGACTGTTTTTGCAGTAGCTTGCTTGTCCCAAATTGCAATTCTCTGCTATTCCCTAATAAACCTATTTCGTTGGTAAAATAACTAATATTTTATAAATGATATTTTATTTTTAAGGTTAACACTCTCAACCTTGGCCATTCATTTCATCCCATCCATAGACCTAGAAATGTTTTCATTCCTGTAATTGCTTTATGGTATACATGCATCTAAAGTCACATGCATGAATGTTCCTCCACATGAAAAGACCCAAAACCTAAGTGGTCCACTTAGGCTCGTTGGATTTTCTAGTAACACAGTCTTCCTACTTGTTCCTTGGTTTTGTCACTAGCTAAAAATTAATTTTAAGGGGAAACTTGGAAGAAAAATTTAAATAGGGAAACTTCTCACTTTTATGTTTATAGTGTTTATGTTTATCAGTGTTCAGAAGTCAAGATGTATAAAAACAGACATATTTTTATTTCTGGTGGCCTGGAAGCCAGTTCCAGCTTAGCTACTGAATCGCCACAGGACATTAAGCAAAGTCCTTTCCCCCATGACATCTCATTTTTGCTCAACAACACAGGAAGCCAGAATTAAATGACTTCTGAGGGTTCTTCCATCCCTTGGGGTTTCCTTTGAAATCTCAAGTCTGAGAGTGAGCTCCTACAACATTCATCACTCCTTCTAAAATTTTCTTCCCTGATGGTTAAAAATCCTGTTTATTTCATCAAAATGTAGAAGATCCCACTTTTGTGAGAGTAGGTTGCTTTTTCCAAGTCAACACAGAGTCTCAGTGCTGGAAAATTCTGGCAGAAATCCTATAGGATGTAGAGGTGGCAACTGTTTTTTTTTTGTAACATTAATGCACAATTACATGAGCATCATTATGCTTACTAGACTCCCCCTATTAATAAGTCCCCAGCACATACCCCATTACAGTCACTGTCCATCAGCATAGTAAGATGCTATAGAATCACTATTTGTCTTCTCTGTGCTACTGCCTTCCCTGTGCCCATCCCCTACATTATGTGTACTAATTGTAATACTCCCTTTTTCCCCTTATCCCTCCCTTCCCACCCATCATCCCCAATTCCTTTCCCTTTGGTAACTGTTAGTCCATTCTTGGGTTCAGTGAGTCTGCTGCTGTTTTGTTCCTTCAGTTTTTTCTTTGCTCTTACACTCCACAGATGAGGGAAATCATTTGATATTTGTCTTTCTCTGCCTGGCTTATTTCACTGAGCATAATACCCTCTAGCTCCATCCATGTTGTTGCAAATGGTAGGATTTGTTTTCTTCTTATGGCTAAATAATATTCCATTGTGTATATGTACCACATGTTCTTTATCCATTCATCTACTGATGGACACTTAGGTTGCTTTCATTTCTTGGCTATTGTAAATAGTGCTGCGATAAACAAAGGGGTGCATATGTCTTTTTCAAACTGGGCTGCTGCATTCTTAGGGTAAATTCCTAGGAGTGGAATTCCTGGGTCAAATGGTATTTCTATTTTCCTTTTTTGGAGGAACCTCCATACTGCTTTCCACAATGGTTGAACTAATTTACATTCCCACAAGCAGTGTAGGAGGGTTCCCCTTTCTCCACAACCTCACCAACATTTGTTGTTGTTTGTCTTTTGGATGGTGGTGATCCTTACTGGTGTGAGGTGATATCTCATTGTAGTTTTAATTTGCATTTCTCTGATGATTGGCAGTGTGAAGCATCTTTTCATGTGCCTGTTGACCATCTGAATTTTGCCTTTGGAGAAATGTCTGTTCAGATCCTCTGCCCATTTTTTAATTGGATTATTTGCTTTTTGTTTGTTGAGGTGCATGAGCTCCTTATATAATTTGGATGTCAACCTCTTATCAGATATGTCATTTTGAATATATTCTCTCATACTGTAGGATGTCTTTTTGTTCTACTGATGGTGTCCTTTGCTGCACAGAAGCTTTTTGGTTTGATATAGTCCCACTTGTTCATTTTTGCTTTTGTTTCCCTTGCCCAGGGAGATTATGTTCATGAAGAAGTTGTTCTTGTTTATGTCCAAGAGATTTTTGCCTATGTTTTTTCTAAGAGTTTTATGGTTTCATGATTTACATTCAAGTCTTTGATCCATTTTGAGTTTACTTTTGTGTATGGGGTTAGACAATAATCTAGTTTCATTCTCTTACATGTAGCTGTCCAGTATTTTCCCATTGTATATCCAAGACTCCTTTATCATATATTAATTGACCATGTATGCTTGGGTTAATATCTGGACTCTTTATTCTGTTCCACTGGTCTGTGCATCTGTGCTTGTGCCAGTACCAAGTTGTCTTCATTATTGTGGCTTTGTAGTAGAGCTTGAAGTTGGGAAGCGAGATCCCCCCTGCTTTATTCTTCCTTCTGAGGATTGCTTTGGCTATATAGGGTCTTTTGTGGTTCCATATGAATTTTAGAACTATTTGTTCCAGTTCATTGAAGAATGCTGTTGGTATTATCTTGATAGGCATTGCATTGAATCTGTATATTGCTTTAGGCATGATGGCCATTTTGGCAATATTAATTCTTCCTACCCAAGAGCATGGGATGTGTTTCCATTTATTGGTTTCCTTTTTAATTTCTCTTAAGAGTGTCTTGTAGTTTTCAGGGTATAGGTCTCTCACTTCCTTGGTTAAGTTTTTTATTCTTTTTGATGCAGTTGTGAATGGAATTGTTTTCCTGATTTCTCTTTCTGCTAGTTCATCATGAGTGTATAGGAATGCAACAGATTTCTGTGTATTCATTTTGTATCCTGCAACTTTGATGAATTCAGATATTAGTTCTAGTAGTTTTGGAGAAGATTTTTTAGGGTTTGTTATGTACAATATCATCTTATCTGCAAATAGTGACAGTTTGACTTCTTCCTTACCAATCTGGATGCCTTTTTTTTTTTTCAATCTGGATGCCTTTTATTTCTTTGTGTTGTCTGATTGCCATGGCCAGGACCTCTAGTACTATGTTGAATAAAAGTGGGAAGAGTGGGCATCCTTGTCTTGTTCCCAATCTTAAAGGAAAAGCTTTCAGTTTCTCGCGCTTAAGTATAATGTTGGCTGTGGGTTTATCATATATCGCCTTTATTATGTTGAGGTATTTACACTCTACACCCATTTTGTTGAGAGTTTTTATCATGAATGGATGTTGAATTTTGTTGAATGCTTCTTCAGCATTTATGGAGATGATCGTGTGCTTTTTGTCCTTCTTTTTGTTGATGTGGTGGATGATGTTGATGGGTTTTTGAATGTTGTACCATCCTTGCTTCCCTGAGATGAATCCCACTTGATCATGGCATATGATTCTCTTGATGTATTTTTGAATTGGGTTTGCTAATATTTTCTTGAGTATTTTTGCATCTATGCTCATCAGGGATATTGGTCTGTAGTTTTCTTTTTTTGTGGGGTCTTTACCTGGTTTTGGTATTAGAGTGATGCTGGCTTAATAGAATGAGTTTGGGAGTATTCCCTCCTCTTCTTTTTTTTGGAAAACTTTGAGGAGAGTGGGTATTATGTCTTCTCTAAATGTCTGATAAAATTCAGCCGTGAATTCATCTGGTCTGGGGGTTTTGTTCTGGGGTAATTTTTGATTACCGATTCAATTTCATTGCTCGTAATTATTCTTTTTAGATTTTCTGTTTCTTCCTTGGTCAGTCTTGGAAGGTTGTATTTTTCTAGAAAGTAGTCCATTTCTTCTAGGTTACCCAGTTTGTTAGCATATAGATTTTCATAGTATTCTCTAATAATTCCTTGTGTTTCTGTGGTGTCCGTAGTGATTTTTCCTTTCTCATTTCTGATTCTGTTGATGTGTGTAGATTCTCTTTTTCTCTTAATAAGTCTGGCTAAGGGGTTATCTATTTTGTTTATTTTCTCAAAGAACCAGCTCTTGGTTTCATTTATTTTTTTCTATTGTTTTATTCTTCTCAATTTTATTTATTTCTTCTCTGATCTTTATTAGGTCCCTCCTTCTGCTGACTTTGGGTCTCATTTGTTGTTCTTTTTCCAGTTTCTATAATTGTGACTTTAGTCTATTCATTTGGGATTGTTCTTCCTTCTTTAAATATGCCTGGATTGCTATATACTTCCCTCTTAGAACTGCCTTCACTGCATCCCACAGAAGTTGGGGCATTGTGCTGCTGTTTTCGTTTGTCTCCATATATGGCTTGACCTCTGTTTTAATTTGGTCACTGATCCATTGATTATTTAGGAGCATGTTGTTAAGCCTCCATGTGTTTTTGAGCCTTTTTGTTTTCTTTGTACAATTTATTTCCAGTTTTATACCTTTGAGATGTGAGAAGTTGATTGGTAGAATTTCAATCTTTTTCAATTTACTGAGGTTCTGTCTGTTTGTGGCCTATTCTGGAAAATGTTCCATGTGCACTTGAGAAGAATGTGTATCCTGCTGCTTTTGGGTGTAGAGTTCTGTAAATGTCTGTGAGATCCATCTGTTCTAGTGTGTTTTCAGTGCCTCTGTGTCCTTACTTATTTTCTGTCTGGTTGATCTATACTTGGCATGAGTGGTGTGTTGAAGTCTCCTAAAATGAATGCATTGCATTCTATTTCCCCCTTTAATTCTGTTAGTATTTATTTCACCTTATGTAGGTGCTCTTGTGTTGCATGCATAGATATTTATAATGGTTGTATCCTCTTGTTGGACTGACCCCTTTATCATTATGTAATGTCCTTCTTTATCTCTTGTTACTTTTTTTGTTTTGAAGTCTATTTTGTCTGACACAAGTACTGCAACTCCTGCTTTTTTCTCCCTATTGTTTGCATGAAATATCTTTCTCCATACACTTTTAGTCTGTGTATGTCTTTGGTTTTGAGGTGGGTCTCTTGTAGGCAGCATATTACTCTGTGTCCATTCTATTATTCTGTGTCTTTTGATTGGTGCATTTAGTCCATTAATATTTAGGGTGATTATTGATAGATATGTACTTATTGCCATTGCAGGCTTTGGATTCTTGGTTACCAAACATTCAAGGGTAACTTCTTTACTATATAACCATCTAAGTTAACTTACTTATTATGCTATTATAA